TGATGAAACATGAGAGTATAAAGTTTGTAACCTTTAGAACCGAAGAATCGATGGAGGAATGGAAGAAATCTTGTGATACACGGTGATGAGGAAGAAGAGAGGCCGGCGATGAAGCAAGAACACTGAGCTCGAAGTGGCTCGGGCTCGGGGAGGAACAAGGGCTATATAGGAGGGGACCTTTAGTCCCGGTTGGAGATGTAAACTAGGACTAGAGGTCCCTTTCTAGTCCCGAGACAGAGCCTCCAATGAGAGTAGATTTTTACTCCCGGTTGGAGGGACCAACCGAGGAGTAAAGTTAACCTTTAGTCCCGGTTGGTAGCTCCAACCGGGACTAAAGGTTCCCTGCAGCAAAAAGCACGCCACAATAGCCGTTAGGCGGGGACCTTTAGTCCCAGTTGGAGCTACAAACCGGGACTAAGGTCTCTCTAGTCCCGGGCATGAAAAATACTGGGACTAAAGCCAAATTTCGAAATTTGGATCAAAGATCGTTTCTCTACTAGTGCCCTTTCTCATCCCCTTGTTATGGTGGTCACCAATATTTCACCCAACTCCCCAAAATAGAGGGGAAGATAGACCTTCACCAATACACCACATCAATCTCAACCGTCGAATTCCTCGTTCCCAGGCCAGTAGTTCACCGAGCCAATTGACCGCCGCTGCCTCGAGCATCGCCAGACGCTTAGGCCCAACCACGGACATTGAGATCCATTTGCAAAGACTGAGCATGCAAAGGTGACCTTGGCCTTGAGACTGCATCGTGGTAGAAGAGAGAGGTGCACCAGTAAGCAAGGAAGGCAGCGTGCTTTCCATAATGGAGAGGCGTGGATGAAGCGAGGAAGGCAAGCGACATTCCACGAGGATGGAGAGGGCTGGGAAGTACTAGCGGTGGAGGAGCGAGAGAGGGGCATGATCGAGGCGCGCATGCGGTTGTGGAGTGGTTGAAGAGGGCATTGCTGGCTGACAGGGGAAGATGAAGATGGCGAGGCGATAGAGATGATAAAGATGGCGAGGGACGACAGAGAAGACCATGTGGGGAGAAAGAGAAAGAAAAGAAAAGGAGAACTGGTGATTGGTACTCGTGATCTATAAAAATATCCCCGCCCCCTCCGGTAGATTAAAAAAACAGTATTGATGCTCACCAATACTATTTTATTGGGAATGGGATTTTTGATGAGCTACCGAAGATGCTCTAAATCACTATATGAATATTGTTAAGGGGTAGCCGAGACCGTGAGTCACCTCAAGTTTTTTATATATAAAGCGTAGTGAAGTATTCATACTAAAAGTAGGAGTAAAATTGGCACACAATGGAAATTAAAGTGACAGATGGAAAAGTCCTACCCTACCTACCAACACTCTCTAATAACAGAAACAAATTCCAAATAAAACACACAAATGGATAGTGGAGTTGATATATCACGATAGATTAATTAGCTGATCGACACGTTTACTAGTCCATACATACACGCTGGTCGCCGGAGATCGCATGCCGGTAGCGCGACACGATGACCCATGCATATACATACACCGCGTGACTAGACTAGCACGCGTGCCTTGGCACATCCGGAGCCGGAGCCAATTCTCGTCTCCTACCAACCTCGTCCCCCGAGCAGCAATAAGACATACGACCCCGCCGACGCCCTCGGCCCCCACGCCACTCACTTGTTTGCCTTGCCTCTTCCTCCATCTGCATGCCTATATAGCCCAACCCTAACTTACGCCTTCTCCCCACTGTTTACACCAAAATTTGGGAGGAAGAATGCAGAACTCAAACTTCAAGATTGTGTCAATCATGGAATCGATTGCATACGAATCGATATCAACTGATTCAGATGCGGCACTGGAATCGGCTCTTTTTGAATAACGTCAGCAGATAATGACAATGAGTTACGGTTGATGTCGGGAAATACATGTCGGAATCTACAAAAAGGAAAACATTAGGGTCCAAGTTATCTTAAGTTAGGAATGTTTTTTATACCAAAGATTGTAATGAGCCGCACTTGAGTAGGATTCATGCTTAGGCTCCGTGTATAAATATTGGACCCCAGCTATTGTAAAGACGACATCAATCCAATCAATACAAATTACTTTTTTTTGGCTTTACACCAACCCTTAGAAATAGGAGTAGTGTAGATCTCGGCAAGTTCTTCAACAAGCAGGGCTGCATCGGTCCAGCCGACCTCCGGCTTGTCTGTAAGTACCTTCATGGCTTATACTTCCGTTTGTTAGGCTACATTGGTTAAGTTCGATCTCCACTGCGAACTCTAGTATAAGCTAGTTATCGATCCTTATCTAGTTCAAGTACGGCTGCATCGGTTAAGTTCGACCTACACTGCTCGAATTAGATCAAGGTCAAGTTATCGGCTCTGCCTAAGGGTGGCATTCTTCGGGTAGATTCATTAAGTTACTGATCTTGCTGATGTTCTTATTGTTATTAGTTTTCAGCAACATCAACCTGTCCAGTCGAGATCGATCTAGATCGGCCTCATATCCTTTTAGTCCGTCGTTTGCTTTGTTACAATACGATGTTTCTTACTTTGAGCGTCAGGTTATGTTTCATCGGCTGTTCTACTTCGATCTTTATCCTGCATAGTATGCAGTTAAGGCATATCTGATCTTGAGGAGGTTTACTGGCTAGTTAATTCTGGTCTATAGTTCACTATTATGGCTGTAACGATCTGGTCGATCCCCACTGAATGGCACTTTAGATCGGAGGATGCTAGTTGGTAGATTTGTTTTTGATCAGGCGTGACCTTGACTGTTTGCTATGCCTGCATCGGCTAAATAGCCGATCGCCCGCACTTTAACGCCTACGGTGTGTTTCCATGATTCTGTTAAATGTGAATAGATCTGTTTACTTTAAAGGTTTGATTTGTTGTTTTTATCACGGCTGCCATCGATCCGGTCGAATCCCACTGTTAGAGATAGTAGATTAAGTCTGATGAGTTCATAGATTTGTCCATGTTACATAGTCGCTTGTTTACATGTTGCAGTCCCTTTTCCATCTGAATCGGCTTATTTCAGCCGATCCGCTTAAGCTTTCACACATGTCCTTTGGAAAGCTTGTCAATGTATAGTTGGTTTTACGGATTCTTCGATTTTAGTTTGTTATTATCATCATAGCTGCCATCGATTCGGTCGAACCTCACTGTTGATGGTAACAGATTAGATTCAAAGCGTTTGTACATCCATTTGTACTAAACAGTAGATTTGTTCGCATGTTATATCCTTTCTCGTTAGATTCATTGGCTCAATGCCTTACACTGCTAATACCTACCTAGCTGATGATTTTACTTATATCTGCGTGCATTGTACTTGCCAACTTAAGATCAATCATAACCCATGAGCTTTACGGTCGTGAATCGCCGATTTCTTCGCCAGATCGTACCGTTTAGTCGATTTTTCCCGTCGCTGCTGCTCTGAAATGACACACTTAGAACTGCTGGGCAAAACCAGCTTGTTCCACCTTAAATTATCGATAAACTTTCTCTCCTTATCAATTGCAGGTCAAATTGACTAGCATGCCTCGGGAGGAATTTCGTATGATCGGCTAGCCCTGCGTTGAAGTCAAGCGGATCTCCACCTTGCTCCATCAAGCAGATCCTTCCACTTGCGTGTGTGCAGTGCATCAACACGTTTGTGCATCGACACCCACCAAGCCTCTCCGAGCCTCTAAACGAGCTTAGCCTTCGACTGTCGGTGACCTATTAAGCTGCAGCCTCGTACTTGACCTCGGCTTCAACTTCCTAGCTATGTTATGTGATTGATAACCCATGGGCAGGTTGGACACCAACCCTACAGCCTTCTCCGCCGCCGACGACGATGCCTATGGCTTCCAGCCGCTGAACCCGATGACGTTCGCTCCTACCTCCACAAGGTCGTGGACTTCATCTCCGACTACTACAAGTCCATCGAGTCCCTACCTATCTTTGCCCGGACGTCATGCCGAGGTACTGCGAAATGAGCTACGGTCCGTGCCGCCCACGTCCTCCACTCCATTCGACGTCACCATGAAGGTGCTCACCGCCTCCGTTGTTCTAGGATGACCCATCGGGCCAGCCCCAAGCGCTTTGCCTTCTTCCCGTCCACTGTGGCGCCGCAGCCCATCGCCGACGACCTCATCACCGCTGCCATGAACTCCGTCGGCTTCACGTGGTCTGGCCGCGCCCGCGACCACCGAGATGGAGGTGCTCGCTTTCTCGATCGCTCGCGCAGCTCTTGCGCCTGTCGTCTAGCTTCATGAACCGCGACCGGTGCCGCCGGGCATGGCACCGGCAGATGGCGTTATCCTGGGAACCACCAGAGAGGCCATGCTCGTCATGCTCGTCGTCGCGTGTGACTCGCCCTCTGTCGAAGTGGCTCCCGGGCGTGTCCGGGCTACCACTCTTGGCCGTGTATGCGCGGACTAGACCCACTCCACCTTCTTCAAGGCATCTTTGCCTCACCGGCTTCGACCTGTCAACATCCGCGCCTCCCCACCGCCCGGAGACGAACTACGCTCTCGACCTCGTGAGGCTGGTCGAGGTCATGCAAGCCGACGCGGACGTCGGCCTCGTGCCGACATACGTCTGCTGCCACGGTCGGCACCACATTGTCCAACACCGTCGACCCTATAGGATCCATTGCCGATGTCGCTGCCATGTTCAACGCGTGGGTGCACATCGACGCCGCCTATGCCGATAAAGGCGTGTATCTACCGGAGTTTCGGCACCACCTCGATGGCGTGGAGCGCATCGACTCTATAAGCATGAGCCCGCACAAGTGGTCGCTAACCCGCCTAGACTGCACGTGCTCGTGGGTGCGTGACGCACACGGCCGCTCAACGACTCGCTGGAGACCAACCTGAATACCTCAAGAACAACGCCGGCCGAGTCCGGCAATGTCACCGACCTCAAGGACATGCAGGTCGGCGGCGGCCACCGCTTCGGGGCTCAAGCTCTGGATGGTCATGCGCACCTATGGCACCGCCAAGCTCCGAGCACATCCGGAGCGACGTCGCCATGGCTAAGATGTTCGAGGACGATGTCAGGTCCGACGACCGGTTTGAGGTCGTGGTTCTAGAAACTTCGCGCTCATGTGCTTCAAGATCAAGCCCCATGGCGGCAAAGGCATGACGAAGGAGGACGCCGACGAGGCCAACCGTGAGCTCATGGAGCGCCTCAACAGAGACGGCAAGGCGACTGGCAGCACACGGTGGTCGTGGCGACAGGTTTGTGCTGCAGTTCGCCATGGGGTCGTCGGCTGCAGGAGGAGAGGCACGCCCAGAGCGTGTTGGAGCTCATCAACAAGACGACCACAGAGATCATGGAGGAACAGATCGTTGCAGTTGTGGAGTAGTAGTAGTATCATATCTTAAAATATTTATATGCAAGTATATACATATAGTCGTCCATGAGCGAGTTATGTTTGATTCTTTGTTCTTTGCCCAATGGAGGAATAATAAAGCCATTGGCCCTGTTTGTTTCGCTGAAATTTGACTTATGTTCTTTGCTTATGCTGATTTGTTGTGAGAGGAAAATACTATTCGTTCATTTGAAAAGTAATCATGAAGTAGTGCCCCCGAACAGGCGATATTTTGTCCAAAGGATGAATATTAACATATATTATTTTCTCTAGCTAAGTTGAAAATGTGAGGCATATATATGATAATTCAAAAAAGTCAAACATATATACACTATATAAAAAAACTTTGACCATTTGTTCAGTCAAAAATATATGCATGTTTAGTGCACAAAGCTACCTACCAATGTTCAAGACTGCATGGCTCTCTTCGTTAAGAATTGAAGCTCACTTCTGTCAGAGTAAAGACAAGCCTCGCCAACAAGTTTGATCAATGGGTTGTGAGCTTAACTTAGGTTGTTGTTGTTTCTTTATCTATTCTGTCTCTTTCTTTGCTTCCTGAAGTCCTCTTTTCTTTCTTTCTAATTTGTACTGGTTTGTTCTCTCAATAACATAATTCCTGTAGGGATCACACGCCTCCAGTTTCTAATTTCTAATATATATTACTAAGCACCCCTAGAAACATATTTTTGGTGTATTCATTAGCTAAGTCTATCGAATGACATTTCTAAGACTATCTCCATCAACACCCAAAATACAAGACCCATTTGACGTTTGGGTAGCACTACGGGCAAATGGTTCAATACCCATTCGGCATCTTCTCCAATAATAAGACCCAAAAGAGAATCATTTCTGCAAATAGGTTTCCAGGAGAGATGATGCTCATATTTGGGTTGTGCCTCTTAGGAAACCCAAAATGGGTCTTCCGTATAGATAGTCTATTGGAGGCTGATTTTGGGTCTCTTATTACCCATTTTGTGTTTGGGTGCGGGTCACTTGTTGGAGACAGTCTAAGGGCGGCCAAAATGATAATTGCCTCTGAGACAGAAGCAACAACTCCAAAATTCATTTTTATATATAGTAATACGATGGAAGTGTGACTTGGCAAGCTGATTCTGAACTTTTGCCGCTGATAAGGTTCCTTGTGGTCGAACCTATCCATTCAGGTTTAAATCGTCGACTTGGTATGGGTACTAATGGTGTGTTCTTTTAGCGATAGGCAACGTGCCTGTCAAGGTGAGTGTGCTTTCATTGCATATATTTATATGAGTGTTTGTTCCATGTGATTTGAAAAAGAAAATCTTATTCTGAACTGTCTACAGTGGTAGGTAGTTTGTACGTTTTTTATGCTGGCAACATGACCTAGCGTGTAATTTTCATCAAGGGCAGGACCCAGGGCTCCTACAATTTTCACCATTAACAAAGGAGAGGAAGAAGAAAAGAGGGAGAAGAATAGAAAAACGAGTAGGGAAGTGGAAGCATTGCATATGTCCGCTCTATTTTGTCAAAAAAACACGTTTAATCTGACCATCTTCAAACCGGCAGTTAAACTTCTTATCCCCCCGGCTTCTAATTGTGTTGCGCATTAGGTGATTAACTAGCAGTTCTTTTTTGAGATTAATATTGATAGGTGTCTCTCTACTTTCCAAATCTAGATGTGGAATATAAATACGCTTCTCCAGCCTCTGCCCGAGTAAAATCAAGAGAATATAACACATTCATGTGAACAGCATTCACGTGAATGTGTGTTATGTTGACTCTTGATTTTACTCAGGCGAAGGCTGGAGAAGCGTATTTATATTCCACTTGCAGATTTCAAAAGTAGAAAGGCACTCACATCAATATTAATCTCAGAAATGTACATGTATAGATATATTTCTACATCATCTTATGATATTTTAAAGTGTCCCCTATCCTTAGTTTCATTTGTTGTCTTTGTAAACAAATTGCTTTGATCAGATGACATACCATGCCATTCCTGCACATGTCAAAATTGTTGGTATTTAATTTTCTAAAACCATTGGCTACACACTGCATCATAACCATTGTTTTCTTATTTTGTAATGACATATGTAAGCCCATGAAAAATATCTACTTATCTCAACATCCCCTGATACTTTTCCTCCAACTAATATGCTCATTACTATTGTTCCATGGTACATTAATTAGATTCAGAAAAACTTGATGCATGGTATAATTCAATTATCAATAATTACAACACCGTATCTTTCATTCTAGTGGCTTATTGTTGTACTTCAGTTCCTTTTACAAGGCAGATCGTTGCGGATGTTAACATCAATGATGTTGCTTGGGAGACAGAAGGTTGTAGTGGAGATGAGTTGACAAATGTTTGTCGTGATGATTCAATGAACAGTATGTGGTGCAAGATAGCAGGCAAGACCAATGATGAGGTGATGAATATGGTCAAGGAACTGGCCAATGACCTAGTGACTAGGTTGGGCTCATGAGAAATGGATGCTTGACTTTGGGTCCTCTTGTGAGCTTGGTTGTCCCAATTTGAAATCTTCTTAAGATCTTCATCAGCATTGCGGTGCAAGACACAGTACTTCATAGCAATAATGAATTAATGATATAGGTTGTTATCTGCTGATGGCCTTGTAGCATAGACATGAGGCACGGATTGTACTCTCCTGACGATTTTCATTTCAGTGATGCTAGGAATTAATAAGTTGATGATTATTTTCACTTGAAACACTGCTATATAGAAAGAAGGATCACCGGCGGGACTTCCACCGCAGTTATGTGAGAACCGTCAATGATGTATTTCACCACTGGATCATATATAGGAAGAGGGGGTGCAGAAGGATGACATAACGGTGGTGCTGAACCTTTTTCGCCCGGTGCGACATATATAGTTTGGTGGCGAAACCAGTGCATGTCTCCGCCAACGTATCATAAACTGAACGGTGGTGAAAACACTTAGCACTGCCGATTCACCCAATGCACGACGCAATTAGAAGCCGGCGGTGATAAGAAGTTTGACCCCTGTTTGAAGATTGAAGGTCGTAGTGCCAATAATAATTAGAGCTGGGAGTGAAAATCGCAGTCACTATCTAATCATTGTGTATTATCCAGCGGTGGAAATGGTAATGGTTCGAGCAGGTAAATTGGTGCTCACTGCATTAAACCTGCTATACCATTATTTCTTCCAAGGGCTACCATCATATGGCCTTGGATTGATGACCCTTTGTCTGCGCCTCGCGCTAGTTTAGCTTCGTTTAGTCATATATTGGTGCTACATTGATCCATGACAGTTTTAGTGACAAGAGTTTGGTCAATCTTTTCATGGTCGTCCTCCTCCTCTTTTCCTATTTTCAGCTCCCAATGTTGTTCCTCCTGATGCTGTATTTCCTTCCCCTCCTTTCATTTTCCTATCGTTCCTTTGTTTCCTTTCATGCTGGGCGCAGAGGATGATGGAGTTACTTTCATGCTAGCCGCAGCGGTTGTTGGAGTTCCCGTTGACGGCGATACTATCTGCACATCGTCTGCATCTTCATCCTGTTCGTGCCCCCGTTGTTCCTCCGCCGGATTGTTCGCAAAGTACTCTTCCGTCTAAGTATCATCATAAAAAAATGTTAGATAGACTTGGTTATTTTGTGCAGTCCGAAACAAGTTGTTCCAACTGAAAGATTCTAATATGCAGTAAAAGCATAGACCATGATAGGTTTTTTGTATGAGCGCAAGTGTTTTAGGTTGCGCTCAGAGTGGAGCGGCCTCGTGCATATTCTGAAGCTAAAATTATCCATTTCTGTCTATACAAGCGAAAGTAGTGCACGTCACATAGCAGTTTTTTCTTTCAGTCTAGCAATTTGGAATTGACAATAACTATAAGACTCACATTTGTGAAATCCTGAGCCATTTGTTCTTCGTCCCATGCCAGCAAATATTTTATTACAAACACCCCACTTGAATGACTGCAACGGAACATAAACATAAGTAATTGGAGTACAACATTAATATACAAAGGAAAAAGAGTATGTGTCTTCTTGTTGCAGTATGTTATGATAGGGAACTATTTCCCATTCACGCAAGTTAATTGGGTTTTCAAATTTAACCAAGTCTTTCTTGACCAAAGAGTCAATGTATGACTATATGCCTTCCACCTAGTGAATGGTTAAATACATGTTAAGTTTGATCAAAATGTAGTTGTAGTTCAATACACAATAGGTGATACGTGATACGTAGAGGATCTGTATTTACCAATGCCTTCTCTAGGTCTTTGTCTCGCATTCCTGATTTGGCGCCTTAAAAGTTAAGGATATGTACATGTCTTTATAAAATTCAACACTAGGAGAGCCCAACGGTTATTGTTAATATGCATTGGCACAAAAACCTGCAAAAAATAATTGAAAACTATTGAATGCATGGCTAGAACACTTGCGACGTGCACTACTTTTGCAAATTGTACAGTCTGGACAATTTGTTGATGATACTTAGGCGAAAAAATTCTTCCAGACTGCACAATTTGCAAAAGTAGTGCACGTCGTAAGTGTTCTAGCCATGCATTCAATAGTTTTCAATTATTTTTTCTAGATTTTTGTGCCAATGCATATTAACTACCACTGGGCTCTCGTAGTGCTAGATTTTATAAAGACAGAGGTACAGATCCTTAACTCTTTAGGCGTCAAATCAGGAATTCGAGACAAAGACCTAGAGAAGGCATTGGTTAGTATAGATCTTCTGCGTATCACGTACCGCCTATTGTGTACTGAACTACAACTACAGGTTGATCAAATTTAAAATGTATCTCACCATCCACTAGGTGGAAGGCATACAGTCATGCATTGACTCTTCGGTCAAGAAAGATTTGGTTAAACTTAAAAAATCAATTAATTTGCACGACTGGGAAATAGTTCCCTATCATAACATACCACAACAAAAAGACTTGTACTCTTTTTCCTTTGTATATTAATGTTGTAATCCAATTACTTATGTTTATGTTCCGTTGCAGTCATTCACGTGGGGTGTTTGTAATA